GAGATTGACCTTTCTCCTACATCAGTTATCTGTGAATACAGTGCGGTTTTTAATCATCCAGATAGCAGAACAATGTTTTAGGCCCTCAGCAGAGAATAGGTTAACCAGCTCATTGCTGTATCATATCAACAAAAGCACAGCTGAACTTACAACTTAGACAATTTCTTGCAAGTTGTGCAGTCTGTCCTTCAGCTACGTATCAAAACATCTCCCTCTGGATGAAACTAGGCTTTTGGCGGATGTTCCTGAACAGCCTCACGCTGGTTGCCTGTAGCGTGGCTTGTAGTGCTCTGTGGTAGGATGCCGTTGGCTTAGAGATGCCTTGTCAAGCACCTGACGCATCCTCTCCTCGAGTCTCCAGGAAAGCTGACAGTGACGGGTGTACTAGCCTGTCGCACAGCCGCTTCTCCTGTTGTTGCTCCTTGAGCGAAGTTTCTTTCTAGTCCTGATGTAGGGACCGCTTAGAATTGTTTTGAGCGGCTGGCTTTGTTTCTCTGTGGTCGCCACAAACTGTTAAACTGATGAAGTTTCCTTCTTTAGAGCGAGAATAGAATGTTTAAGTCATATTTATGGTCCCTTCATTACAAATACAGGGTTTTTGAATAGGCATTATAATTTTGATTTTGTTTTTCACTTATTTATTTCTGAATAGATTAAAAGGTTTAATCACATTTCAGAAATGGTAAGGGCAAAGGTTACATGATTAAGAGGCACCTTTCTACCCCTTTCTTAGAGCTGCTCAGTTCTGTGTGCTAGAGGCAGCCATTGTAATCAGTTTCCTCTGTGTCCTTCCAGACATTTTATGCATTTGTATGCACATATGTTCATTTTATAGATTTTTGTAACTCCATTTTATTTTTTTTATTATGCCTGTCACCTACTTTAAAAAATAATTTCCTTGTAATTAAAAATATTTATTTGAAAGGCAGAGTTACAAAGAGACAGAAGCAGAGAGAGAGTTCTTCATCCACTGGTTCACTTCCCAGATGGCCGCAATAGCTAGAGCTGGGCTGATCTGAAGCCAGGAGCCTGGAGCTTCTTCTGGGTCTCCCACGCGGGTGCAGGGGCCCAAGGACTTAGGCCATCTTCCACTGCTTTCCCAGGCCATAGCAGAGAGCTGGATTGGAAATAGAGCAGCCAAGGCTTGAACCAGCACCTATATGGGATGCTGGCACTTCAGGTGGTGGCTTTACCTACTATACCACAGCACCAGCACCAATTTCCGTGTTTTTTTTTTCCTTCTAAATCTAGCCTGTTTTATTTTATTTTTTATCTTCGGCAGATAGAGTTAGAGAGAGAGAGACAGAGAGAAAGATCTTCCTTCCTTTGGTTCACTCCCCTAATGGCCACCATGGCCAGCACGCTGCGCTGACCTGAAGCCAGGACTTGAACCGGTGCCCATGTGGAATGCCAGCACTGCAGGCTCCTAAAATAAATAAATCTTAAAAAAAAAAAAATTAACCATCTCTGAGTGATAAGGTTGCAGAAGATGCTCAGTTTATTTGATCTTTTCTTCATTTTTTTAATCTTCAGCAATGAGCATGAATTATTTTATAATAGTTTTTTTTTTTTTTTTTGAAAGGCAGAGTGGACAGTGAGAGAGAGAGACAGAGAGAAAGGTCTTCCTTTGCCGTTGGTTCACCCTCCAATGGCCGCCGCGGCCGGCATGCTGCAGCCGGCGCACCGCACTGATCCGATGGCAGGAGCCAGGTGCTTCTCCTGGTCTCCCATGGGGTGCAGGGCCCAAGGACTTGGGCCATCCTCCACTGCACTCCCTGGCCACAGCAGAGAGCTGGCCTGGAAGAGGGGCAACCGGGACAGAATCCGGTGCCCCGACCAGGACTAGAACCCGGTGTGCCGGTGCCGCAAGGCGGAGGATTAGCCTAGTGAGCCGCGGCACCGGCCTTTTATAATAGTTTTTAAAAACACGGAAATTGGGGGCCGGCGCCATGGTTCACTTGGTTAATCCTCCCCCTGTGGTGCTGGCATCCCACATGGGCGCTGGGTTCTAGTCCCGGTTGCTCCTCTTCCAGGCCAGCTCTCTGCTGTGGCCCGGGAGGGCAGTGTAGGATGGCCCAAGTGCTTGGGCCCCTGCACCCGCATGGGAGACCAGGAGGAAGCACCTGGCTCCTGGCTTCGAATCAGCGCTGTGGCGGCCATTAGGGGAGTGAACCAATGGAGGGAAGACCTTTCTCTCTGTCTCTCTCTCACTGTCTGTAACTCTGTCAAATAAATAAATAAATAAATAAATAATAAAAGTTCATTGATTAAAGCCACACATATAATCATGGCCAAAACTGCATGGATAAATTCAAATCACAGTTATAACAGACTAAATTAAAATTCTATACAAAATGTCTATAAAAAAAACTGTTCTCCTTTCCCTTCCATTTGTTTATTAATATATTCAGTTATTCATAATAGTATTTTTAACTTTTTTTTTTAAAAGATTTATATGTTTATTCATTTATTTGAAAGGAAGAATTACAGAGAGGCAGAGTCGGAGAAGCCTTCCATCTGCTGGTTCACTCCCCAAATTGCTGCAATGGCCAGAGCTGCACTGATCGGAAGCCAGGAGCTTCTTCCAGATCTCCCATGCAGGTGCAGGGGTCCAAGCATTCGGACCATCTTGAATTGCTTTTCCAGGCTGTAGCAAAGAGCTGGATTTTAAGTGGAGCAGCTGGGATTTGAAACCGGAGCCCACTGCAGGTGGTGGCTTTACCCACTGTAGCAGTGCTGGCCCTCAGTATTTTTAACTTCAAAGTGTTGTATATAGATATATACATTATATCAATCTGCTTAATCTCCATGAATGAACATTGGGTTTCTTTTTACTTTTTTCAGTATTGTGATCACTATAATGAACCTGCCTCTCTGGGCAGTTGTCCAGTTATTTTGTTGGGATAATACACTGGGAATTATCATTTCTGAGTCAATAGGCAAGCACTTAACAAGTGCATACTGGGAGAGCATTGTGGTGCAGATGATTAAGCCACCTCTTGGGATGCCCACATCTCCTGTCAGAGTACTTGGAATTAAGTGCTGCCTCTGTTCTGATCCAGTTTCCTGCTGATGTGCCTTGGAAGCAACAGATGGTGGCTCAGGTATTTGGGCCCCTGACACCCACATGGGACACTTGGATGGAGTTCCTGGCTCTTACCTCTGCCTGGCCCATCTCTAGCTATTGCAGGCAATTGAGAAGTGAACCACTGGAAGGAAGATACCTCTTCTTTTTTTTTTTTTTAAGAAAGCTTTTATTTAGGCCGGCACCGCGGCTCACTAGGCTAATCCTCCGCCTAGCGGCGCCGGCACACCGGGTTCTAGTCCCGGTCAGGGCGCCGGATTCTGTCCCGGTTGCCCCTCTTCCAGGCCAGCCCTCTGCTGTGGCCAGGGAGTGCAGTGGAGGATGGCCCAGGTGCTTGGGCCCTGCACCCCATGGGAGACCAGGAAAAGCACCTGGCTCCTGGCTCCTGGCTCCTGCCATCGGATCAGCGCAGTGCGCCGGCCGCAGCGCGCCAGCCGTGGCGGCCATTAGAGGGTGAACCAACGGCAAAGGAAGACCTTTCTCTCTGTCTCTCTCTCTCACTGTCCACTCTGCCTGTCAAAAAAAGAAAAAAAAAAAAAAAGAAAGCTTTTATTTAATGAATATAAATTTCACAGGTACAGCTTTAGGAATATAGTGGTTCTTCCCCCATACCCGCCTTCCCACCCCACTCTTGTCCCACCTCCTACTCCCTTTCCCATCCCATTCTTCATTAACATTTGTTTTTGATTAACTTTATGTATAGAAGACCAACTCTATACTAAGTAAAGATTTCAACAGTTTGCACACACACACACAGTCACACAGACACAAAGTATAAAGTTCTGTTTGAAAGCAAGTTTTACAGTTAATTCTCATAGTACAACTCATTAAGGACAGAGAACCTTCTTGGGGAGTAAGTGCGCAGTGATTCCTGTTGTTGATTTAACAATTAGCACTCTTATTTATGACGTCAGTGATCACTCGAGGCTGTTGACATCAGCTGCCTTTTGAGTCCACAAACTCCCTCAGTATTTAGACAGGGCCATATGCAAAGTGGAAGGGAAGCTATCTCTCTAGTCTGTCATTCTGCCTTTCAAATAAGTAAATTAATAAATGAATCTTTAAAAAATCATTCTCAGGGCTCAGTATTTGCACAATAAACAAACTTGAAATATATGGTAATACAGAAATTTATTTAAAGTGCATATTTCCCTGGGGCCGGCGCTGTGGCGCAGCGGGTGACATCCTGGCCTGAAGCACCGGCATCTCATGTGGAGACCCAGCTGCTCCACTTCCGATCCAGCTCTCTGCTATGGCCTGGGAGAGCAGTGTGGGATGGCCCAAGTCCTTGGGCCCCTGCACCTGCATGGGAGACCCGGAGGAAGCACCTGGCTCCTGGCTTCGGATCAGCGCATCTCTGGCCGTTGTGGCCAATTGGGGAGTGAACCATTGGGGAAGACCTCTCTCTCTCTCTGCCTCTCCTCTCTTTGTGTAACTCTGACTTCCAAATAAATAATCTTTAAAAACAAAATAAAGTGCATATTTCCCTGTAGAAAAGTTATCCAAATGTCATTAAAACAGACAGCATATGAGACTGACTGCCCATTTCCACATTCTATGGCTAACATTTCTTGCCAGCTTCCACTTTGTGTTATTATTTTTTGCAGTGGGAGCTGAATATACATAATCAATCACTTTTGAGTGGGTGGAAGTTAGAAGGGGATAGTGTAGCTATATCCATGTGGTTCTCACCGTGACCACTGTCCTTCAGGGTAAAGGGATGCTCTGCATGGAAGAGTTCCTCGTCTTCGGAAACGCTCCAGGCGAGACTCAGAGCCGCTTGCTGGGGATGCGGTAAAAGGGATCTGTTAAATTCTGGGCTGCTGCTTGGTCCTGGGAGTGTCTCATAGTTCAGTTTATGACCATCTATTCGTGTCTTTGAAGTCTGAGTGATTTTAAATATTTTACTTTTCAGTGGTTGAAGGCCTTGCACTGTTGGACTTGGGAGTGTCTCCGTATTCTGGAGCAGTCTTTCATGAAGTAAGTGTTCTTTTTCTGTTTTCCAGATATTAAGAGTAGTTTACAGGCTCAGATACCAAAGCCTAACTGCTGTTTTGTACAAACATTTAAAAATATCCACTTTTGAAAACTATATTTAGAAACAGTCCTTTTTTAGATGTGCTGCATGTAAGAGGTTTCACAATTGCAGTGGAAATGATCCAGATTAAGATTGTAGTTGGGGGTGGGGAACAGATGAGGCCTCTGTAGAAGTTACCATTTTTAATGGCAAGTTGTAAATAATTCCCAATCCATAAATAGATTATGTGTTTGTTGGCTGTAATCAGTTCTTTGGAACATGGTTTCCCATGGAAAATGTGACAGCGGTGTTGGTTCCATAGAAATCTATGAAAATTTACTTAATCTATAAAATTAATTCTTTTTTTAAAACGATTTTATTTATTCATTTGAGAGGTAGAGGGAGAGGGAGAGGGAGAGAGAGAGAGAAAGGTCTTCCATCCACTGGTTGACTCGCCCAGCAGATGTTAATGGCTGGAGCTGAGCTGATCCGAAGCCAGGAGCTTCTTCCAGGTCTCCCACATGGGTGCAGAGGCCCAAGGACTTTTGACATCTTCCACTGCCTTCCCAGGCCATAAGCAGAGAGGTGAATTGGACGAGGAGCAGCCAAGATGTGATCTGGCACCCATTTGGGATTCTGGCGCTGCAGGTGGGGGCTTAGCCTACACCACAATGCTGGCCCCATAAAATTAGTTCTTAATAATAATAGGGGGCTGGCGCCGTGGCTTACTTGGTTAATCCTCTGCCTGCGGCGCCGGCAGAGGATTAATGGGCGCCGGGTTCTAGTCCCGGTTGCTCCTCTTCCAGTCTAGCTCTCTGCTGTGGCCCTGGAAGACAGTGGAGGATAGCCCAGGTGCTTGGGCCCCTGCACCTGCGTGGGAGACTGGGAGGAAGCACCTGGCTCCTGGCTTTGGATCGGCGCAGCGGCCATTAGGGGAGTGAACCAATGGAAGGAAGACCTCTCTCTCTCTCTCTCTCTCTCACTGTCTAACTCTATCCGTCAAATAAAAAATACAAAAAATAATAAAAAGAAAACCAAAACTAACAAAACAAAAAAAACTCTTAATTAGTTCATTATCATCTCTATTTTTTTAAAGATTTTATTTATTTATTCGAAAGTCAGAGAGTTACACAGAGAGAAGAGAGGCAGAGAGAGAGGTCTTCCATCCAATGGTTCACTCCCCATTTGGCCGCAATGGCTGGAGCTGCACCGATCTGAAGCCAGGAGCCAGGAGCTTCTTCCAGATCTTCCACACGGGTGCAGGGGCCCAAGGACTTGGGCCATCCTCTACTGCTTTCCCAGGCCATAGCAGAGAGCTGGATCAGAAGAGGAGCAGTTGGGACTAGAACTGGCGCCCATATGGGATGCCAGCGCTTCAGACCTGGGCGTTAACCCACTGCGCCACAGCGCCGGTCCCACCTTTATTATATTTTTAAGATTTTTTTATTTGAGAGGCAGAGTTACAGGAGAGACAGAGATACAGCAAGAGAAAGATCTGTCTACTAGTTCACTCCCCAAATGGCTGCAACAGTTAGGGCTGGGCCAGGATGAAGTCAGCAGCCAGGAGCTTCTTCCAGATCTCCCGCAGGGGCCCAAATACTTGGGCCATCCTCTGCTGCTTTCCCAGGTGCATTAGCAGGGAGCTGGATTGGAAGTGGAGCAGCTGGGACTTAAACTTGCGCTCATTGGGATGCTGGTATTGCAGGCAGTGGCTTAACCTGCCATGTCACAATACTGGCCCCTCACCATAGTCTTTTTTTTTTTTTTTTTTAAGATTTATTTTATTTTTATTTGAAAGAGTTACAAAGAGAGGTAGAGACAGAGAGAGAGGCCTTCCGTTGCGCTGGTTCACTCCCCAGATGGCTGCAACAGGCGGAGCTGCACTGATCTAAAAAGAAAGCCCTGCAGGGGCCGGCGCCGTGGCTCACTTGGTTAATCCTCTGCGGCGCCGGCATTCCATATGGGCCCTGGGTTCTAGTCCTGATTGCTCCTCTTCCAGGCCAGCTCTCTGCTGTGGCCCGGGAGAGCAGTGGAGGATGGCCCCTGCACCTGCATAGGAGACCAGGAAGAAGTACCTGGCTCCTGGCTTCGGATCGATGCAGTGCCGGCTGTAGCAGCCATTTGGGGAGTGAACCAAAGGAAAGAAAACCTTTCTCTCTCTCTCTCTCTTTCTCTCTTTCACTATCTATAACTCTGTCAAAAAAAAAAAAAAAGCCCTGCAGGTCCTCCTCAATATACCAACCACATTTCTTTCCTTTTCTCTTTCTATTTTTATTGACCGTATCATTTTACAGTAGAAGTCTTCTTATTTGACAGTTTACCTCCTAATTTATTTTTTAAAGATTTATTTTATTTTATTTGAAAGAGTTACAGAGAGAGGTAGAGTCAGAGAGAGAGGGGTCTTCCATCCACTCGTTCACTCCCCAAATGGTCGCAACAACCAGAACTGAGCTGATCCAAAGCCAGAAGCCAGGAGCTTCTTCTGGGTCTCCCACGTTGGTGCAGGGACCCAAGCATTGGGCCATCCTCCTATTGTTTTTCCAGGCCACAACAGAGAGCTGGATGGGAAGTGGAGCAGCCGGGACTCAAACTGGTGCCCATATGGGATGCTGGCACTGCAGGCTGGGGCTTCAACCCACTGCACCACAGTGCCAGCTCCTTATTGCCTAATTTTTAAAAAAAGATTGTTTATTTGAAAAACAGAGTTACAGAGAGAGAGGGAGATAGAGTCAGGGACCTTCCATCCCCTGGTTCACTTCCTAAGTGGCTGCAGTGGCCAATGTTAGGCCAGGCCAGAAGTCAAGAGCCTTGAACTCCATCTGGGTCTCCCATGTGGGCATCATCCACTGTTACTTGCCCAGGCCCATTAGCAGGGAGCTGGAATGGAAGCAGAGCAGCTGGCTTGAACCAGGTGGGGGCATTACAGGCGGCAGCTTAACCCACTGCACCACAACACCAGCCACCTACATTCTAATTTTTATAATTATCTACTTATCTGCCTTATAATACTTGGAGAACAATTTTTTTTCTTTTCTATCTAGTCCTTCAAAAGCATTCAACTTGGGCCTCATAGAAATAGCAGCTGTCTTTTGCATTCGTATTTTGTTTTCTTTATATTAAGATCTAATCAAGGCCGGTGCCATGGCTCACTTGGCTAATCCTCCGCCTGAGGTGCCAGCACCCCGGGTTCTAGTCCCGGTTGGGGCACCGGGTACTAGTCCTGGTTGCTCCTGGCTTTGAATTGGCGCAGCGCCGGCCATAGCGGCCATTAGGGGAGTGAACCAATGGAAGGAAGACCTTTCTCTCTTTCTCTCTGTCACTGTCTATAACTCTGTCAAAAACAATCTAATCAAACCACGACAAAAAGAACTATTGGCAGAAACAGGAACAATTTAAGAGACTCTTAGTAAGCACATATTTCAATTATAGGGAACAGATGTATGTAGGCATGTCAAAGAGCAGTCCACTAACCACAGGGTACTGTGTTTTCTAGACGTAGTGAGAACTCCCTGAGAGTTCTGACTTCCTCTCATTATGCTAATACTATATTCTCTATTACCCTGATGTCTGCTCACGCTATGTCCTCTTTATGGAGGGCCACTCTCCCTTCTTCTTCTTCTTCTTCTTCTTCTTCTTTTTTTTTTTAACATTTACTTATTTATTTAAAAGGCAGAGTTAAAGAGAGGGAGAGACAGAGAGAGATCTTCATCTGCTAACTCACTCCCTAAATTGCCACAGTGGCTGGTGCCAGGCCAAAACCAGGAGCTTCTTTCTGGTCTCCTGCCTGGGTGCAGAGGCCCAAAGACCTTGGCCATCCTCTGCTGCTTTCTTAGGCAAGTTAGCAGTGAGCTGGATTGCAAGTTGAGCAGCTGGAGCTTGAGCTGGCGCCCATATGGGATGCTGGCACTGCAGACTGTGGCTTTAACTCACTGTGCCACAGTGCTGGCCCTTCTTCCCTCTATTGTTGACTTTATTATTCAGATATTAGCTCAGGATTTACCTTCTCTAAAAAGCCATCCTCATCACCTTAGACTAGGTTAGATTCCCTCCTGTATCTTGCAAAAAGTCTAGGCTTTTTATTTTCATGGCTTTTATCATACTCTTGAAATTGCCTCTGTATTTGTTTTACTCATGATATACTCTCCTCAAAACAGGTACTAGCATCCCTGATTCCTAATGCTTATCTTTTAATCTGTATTTGCATTCCATTTGTTAAGTAGACCAAATGCCAGTTACTTTGCTAGGTACTAGAGGTACAAAACAAGATACAATCTCTTGCCTTATGTTTATATTTCTGAGACAGACAATAAGTAAGTAAAGAAACAAATTTCAAAGCCAAAAATGTTATCAGGGTTAAAGAATTTAATTTTTTAAAAAGATTTGTTTATTTATTTGAAAGAGTTAGAGAGAGAGAAAGGACAGACAGATCTTCCATATGCTGGTTCACTCTTCAAATGGCTGAAATGGGCGGAGCTGGGCCAATCTGAAGCTAGGAGCCAGGAGCTTTTTCTGGGTCTCCCACATGGATGCAGAGGCCCAAGGACTTAGGCTGTCTTCTGCTACTTTCCCAGGCCATTAGCAGGGAGCTGGATAGGAAGTTGAGCAACTGAGACTCGAACCAGCACCCAGACAGGAAGCGGCCCTGAAGTTCATGTGTTTTAAGATTTGTTTATTTATGGGGCTGGCGCTGTAGCACATCAGGTTAAAAGCCCTGGCCCATGGCATCGGCATCCCATATAGGCACTAGTTTGACTCCCGGCTGCTCCATTTCTTGTCGCTCCCCCTCTTCGTGGAGGAGCAACACAGGACCCTGCGCTGTTCTTTCGTCTGCTCGGCCCTCCCCGGGTTTGCTGCTGGTTCTTCCCGGGTTGGCTACTATCCCTTCCACCTCCGTGGAAGGGCAGTTCCCCCTGGCCGCATTCCCCACTTCCGCAGGGGAGCGGCAGACCGCCGGCCGGCTCTT